AACAGAGCAAAAATAAGGATGAATTGAAATAAATATTGCAAAATAATAATATAAATTGGTGCATAAAGAAAAATGCGGAAAATTACCGGTCACTGGTTTTCGGTCGGTTCAACCGTCCGAATTTTATAAAAATACTCTTCATTGCGATATTATTCAGATTCGAAGTGATATTAAAATAATATCTCGAGAAGAATTATTTTATTTTTGTTCTTTGGTATTCACCTATGGCTAGAGGATGTTCTGACACATAAATGCTCTCTTCGTTGCAATATAATTCAGATTTGAAGTGAAATTAAAATCAATATGTTCTTCTTCACTCTTATCCCATATGTGGAAATTCCTTCAAATGACGAGTTTAAACTTTAACGTGTTGAGTGGGTTAATTATGACAATAATCATTAAAAGTTATTTTTAATAAATAATCACTCAAGTTTCTAATTGTTACACTGATGATCACTGGCACAAAAAATAATAACATTAAATCCTTCGTGACACTATTGAATGTCAATGCATCAATTAATGATATTATTTATTACGCCAAATTAATAAAAGAATTAGCTTTGGGGATTAAACGCTTTCTGATGAGAAAACATCATGCATCTATAATTTTAATTAGAATTTTGACTTGGAGAATTCACATTTTTAACATCGTGATGAAAGGACATTTGACTAAGGACCCAAGATGACTATATACTTATCGAGGATTAACAACGTTGTTATCTCCAAACTTGACACTGGCGTGCAAGCAATCATATTTAGGCCTTTTCAGCTACCCCCTGCGTCTAGCTAACAACCATACTTCAATTTTGGAAAAGTTAAATTATTTCTCATCCAAGTACGAATAATTACAACTTGGTCCTCACCCTAAGTTTTCTTGATAGAATCATCTCGAACCTATTAGATTAGCCTCCTTTGGACTATTAACTTATAAAGGATTTATAAATTAAGTCAAAATTAAACATTAATTTCGATTCACATTTATAATTACTGCTCATTAATTATTCACATATTTTATAAGATTTACTATTAATCCTCTTTATAAATGTTTTATAAATTTATCAAATGGAGGCTAATTTGTGAAGGAAGGTGATGTTGGAGAGTTTCAAAAATGCAGAAATTTGAGGATAATATATTGAAGTTAAAATGTGAATTAAATCAAATAAGTATTGCATGTTAACACATTTGGAAAAACACGGTTTAGAAATTAAAATCACTTTAAAGTGCTTTTGCTTTTTAGACATTTGTCTTGTAAAATTACGAACATACGTTGGATCATCTATTCAAAGATTCGGTTAGTCCACTGTTAAACTCGGCTCAATCCAATCGAAATTTAGCAAATTATATATATAAAATAAAGTGAAAAATGGCAGTGAAGGGCAATGAAGAATAGGATTCCATTCCAACGGTTCATCTAAAGAGAATGAGAAGTGACAAATGGGGAAGTTTAGTTTTAAAGCAAATCTACTCAAGTAACATCCACAGATTTCTCCAGTGTCTTTACTGTGAGATTCAAAAACCACCAAACGAAAGAATCAATCAATCAAATTGTAATTGAATTGAAGTAACAACAGAAAAGAATCACAATGCATGGGTAATTCCCATTCGACGGTAAAAAAAAGTTAATTGCTATATAACTGGTTAGGTTTGGGGTGTGTGTGTGGGTCCCAAACCCAACTCAATAGTCTTGAAATGCTGTACACTATTCATGGTGGTGACTGATAACAAGAAATGACTGATTCTTAAATCACTTTATGAAAACCTGCCGAACTTTTTCACGAATTTGGTAAATCTTTCCATTTTTGGAAACAATGGTCATTGAAACCCTTTAAGAGCATCCCTTCTTTATCTTCATCTCTTTCATCTGTTTGTCTTCTTCAGTATCTTATCACCATTTTAGAAAATCCATTTCTAGAGAGAGAGAGAGAGGGGAAAAAATGGCTCGTGGGAAGATCCAGATCAAGAGAATAGAGAACCAAACAAACAGGCAGGTGACTTATTCCAAGAGAAGAAATGGACTCTTCAAGAAAGCTCATGAACTCACTGTTCTTTGTGATGCTAAGGTTTCAATTATCATGATCTCCAGTACGCAGAAGATCCATGAGTATATTAGCCCTACGAGCACGTATGCTTCTTTCCCACTCTCTCTAAAAAAGCTCAGATTTTGTTTATTTTCATTGTAAATCAAATTATGGTAATTCATTAAAAGATTTTATTTTTGTAATTGTTTAGGACAAAGCAGTTGTTTGATCAGTATCAGAATGCTGTTGGGGTCGATCTTTGGATCACCCACTACGAGGTTTTTCTCATTTTCACACACACGCACACACACGTTTTTGGGTGTGCGCTTTTTTTTTTTGTCGCCTTTTCTTTTTTAACTGTGCTCCAAAAGATTCTATATACGTTTTAGAGATGAATTTTTTGCAGAAAATGCAAGAGCACTTAAGGAAGCTGAAGGATATTAATAAGAATCTTCGAAGAGAGATTAGGTAATAGATTAACTTCTATCTTATGATCTTTATTCTTGAGTTTTATATGTTCTTTTTTTTCAATTTCTTTTATGTGTGTGTGTGTGTGTGTGAATTGGCAGGCAAAGAATGGGAGAGAGCTTGAATGATCTAAACTACGATCAAATCGTTAATCTTATTGAAGATGTGGATGATTCTCTGAGGAAGATTCGTGAAAGAAAGGTTTTCTTAATTTTTCTGTTGACTATTACTTTAATCATTTCAAGATACTTTTGTTTTCTACCTATTTTTTATATAAATACACTAATTAACATATTTTTCTTGCTTTTGATGTAATTAAATGACAGTACAAAGTGATTGGCAACCAGATCGAGACTAGCAAGAAAAAGGTATAATTCTTAAAATCTTTTGGGTTCAAAAATTCCTATATATATATGAGTATTTGCGATGAATAGAATCTTTTTTCTGGGTTTCTTGCAGTTAAGGAACGTCGAAGAAATTCACAGAAATATACTTCTGGAATTTGTAAGCACCTAATATTAGT